CCACTCCGGCACCCCGTAGGGTCTTTTCTCGGCAAAAGAAAGGTTTGGGTCCAGCCTTAAAGCGAGAAAAAGCCCCAGTGACGTCACAGCCAGTCCCTCCGGGCTAGGACGGCCCAGGGCCTCAGACTGCAGAAACTGAGACGCTTGTAGAGATTAATGAGAGCCTAAAAACAAAGACTGACTGGAGAGATAAAGACTGAGAAAAAGGGACATAGAGAAAAGGAAACTGGACCGAGACAAGAAAGAGCCAGAGATTCCTAGAACATACGTCTATTGGAAACATAGAGATGGATAGATAGATAGACAGACAGATAGGGATAGAGACAGAGACGCCCATAATAGGCAGGCTCAGGAAGCAGTCATCAAAAAGATAGGTGCTGAACCAGGTTGAAGATTCAAATTAGCCCTCCCTCTCCATCGCATTCCCTCCCCCATCTTTTAATTAAGACGCCAGGGAGTAATAAATAATAAACAGTCTTTTTTTACTTAAATAATTTCAATAAAAAGTCAGAACAACAAAAAACACACACAAAAATGATAAAATAAACTTTAAAACCCTAGTGCTTCAGGAGACACAATCAGATGGAACCCTCGGGGCAGGCAGGGGGGCAGGCTGAGAGTATCCCTTCCGAAGGGCTCCCTCCAATCCCTTCCTCGCCACCGCTGGGGCCGAGTGCGGGCGGCGGGGCCAGCTCCGCCGCAGGATAGAACTTCTTTCTTAAATACACAAATATATTATATTCAATATGAATCGTGTCTGTTTCCAGCAGAAAAAAAAAAAAACGTACAAAACAGGGAGTACAGAGGGTCGCCCAGAGGTGTAGGGGCCCAGGCCAAGGTAGGGCTTGTAAACTTCGAGATTGGAACTAGTGGGTGAGTGGGGAAGGAAGAGAGCGAGCCGACAGGCGCGCTGGGCGGGGCCCCTCCGTCTAGTCCAGTGCCCTCCAGGTGGCCCTGCCCTCTCTCCCGCGTCTCAGAGTCTGCGGCCCGCCCATACCCGGGCAGAATCACGCGCGGCGGGGGCGTGAGGGGGAGAGTCAGTCACGCAGCCGGGTCCGTGGGCGGGCCGCGCGTGGGCTCAGAAGTTCTGCATCTTGACGGCCAGCAGCAGCTGGCAGCCGCTGTTGACGTGGCTCAGCACCTTCTGCTTGAGCTGCGCCACCTGTTCACGGAGCAGACTAGCCGTGTTCGACAGCCCAGCGTTTTCGGACTTCAGTGTCTTCACCTTGTCCTCGAGTCGCGCGATGCGCTCCAGTTTCCGTTTGCGGCACTTGGTGGCCGCCAGTCGGTTCCGCAGTCGTTTCCTTTCCACCTTGATGCGCTCCTGGTCTTCCATGTTGATGGGTGACACGGGTGGTGTCCCGTCCCTGCTGCGCGCCTCTGGCACCGTCTGTGGTTCCTCCTTAAAGGCCGCCAGCGGCCCTGCGCCTCCCGCAGCCCGGGCACTCAGCCCTACCGCTGCCGGGTGGCCCCCGGGGAAGGGCGGTCCGTGGGGGAGGTAGCTGATGGTGGCAGTAGGGTAGCCGCCCGCGGCCCCTGCGCCCGCTCCCCCACTACCTCCACTGGCGCTGTAACTGGTGAGGTTGGTGTAGACAGGAGGTGGTTCAGGACCCAAGGCTGAGGGGCCGTAAACGCTACTAGGGGGAGCTGGGGCCCCTGCGGTCCCAGAGCTGCCACTGCTGCTGCTCAGTGACACGTTGGGGGGCGTCACGTGGTTCATCTTGTGCAGGTCGTCAAGCGCTTTGACGAAGCCATCTGCGAAACCCTCCTGCTCCTCCGTCACACTGCGCGAGTAGAAGTACTGGCCCGGCGGCGTGGGCGTTGTGGTGATGAGCCCGTTGCTGTTCTGCGCTATGAGGCGCTCCAGCTCCGGGGACGCGAGCTTTAACGAGCCCGCCGGCCCAGCCGGGGCCTCGTTCTGAGGGGGAGGTGGCGGTCCCGAAAAGTAGGCGCCACTCGCGTCCTCTGGCCCCGGTCCCCGACCATGCCCTGGCGCCTTGAGGCCGCGGTAGGGGTCAGCGGCAGCGGCTAGATTGAGCGCCAGGTTCTGTTTCAGCAGCTTGTAATCATGCAGTCCCAGTGCGGCGGCACCTCCCCGGCCATAAGCTGCCGCCGGGTAGGAATCATCGTGGTAGAATGGTTGCTCCATCTTCGTGCACATCCAGGCGCCCGCGCGCCCAGCCCGCAGCTCCCGGCGCTCCCCTCTGCGGGGAGCAGGAGACCCCTGAGGCACTCGAGCTCGGATGCCTGAATGCCCTCGGGGCAAGCTTTGGGAGGTTCAGGTCAGACCAGGCGCTTCAGGTTTCCGGAACGCACCTCGACGCTAAACCTGAGTTCCCCTTGCTGTGCCTCACTCTTCCCGTACTCAGTCTTCAGTGACCGCCCCCACCCCTTCAAGTCCCCAGAAAACAGTGGCAAGGCTCTTGTGTTGGTGAGGCAAATCTGACAGCAGGAGCCCAAGTCCTGGCCTGGTTCAGCTGGACTCCTTTGCGCCGCGCCCTGTTTGCTAGCTAGCTCGGACGATCAAGGCTCTATGGCTGCCTGTCCTTCTCAAGCTCCCGTTCCGATCCCACAGCCTTCGGACTCCCCGCTTCTTTGCCGGCCTCGCTGCGTACCCCAGAGCCTTTATACGGCAGTGGCTGCGTAAGCGATCGCTGATTGGCTGTGCAGGAGAACCAGGCCCTCGCCTCCTCCCGCACCCCACTCTCCCCCTCCCCGCCCAGTATGCCTGGGCTCGGCGTGGGGAAGGGGAGGAGGAGGCTGGCGTCACTGCCAGGAAGCGCGTGTCCTTGTAAACAGCGGCGGCGGGACAGGGCCGGGCAAGGACAGGGCTGGGCTGGGACTGTACTGGGACGGGCCAGGGAGACAGGGAAACTGGGGGCCGCAGTAGGGGGTTGGAGGGCGGGCGGCAGAGAGACAAGGCCTGGAAGACAGAGCAGGGAAGAGGGGGACCTGGTATAGCCAGATCTGAGACATGAGATAGGGGATGCTAAGACCAGCCCGGGGATTGGGGGCGATGGAACCCTGAATCGAGAAGCTGCTGTGACAAGTCCCCACTGGAATTCACAGATTCCTCCGCTACGAAGACTCGGACACCCTGAGCCGCCCCACTCTCTACTACACCCTCCCCCCGACACACACACAGTGTCTGTAGTCTACTCAGACGCAGTCTGACCCTCACGTACTATCCCCCCACCCCCAGAGTCCAAAGACCCCTCCCTACTCGCAGTGTATTAGAAGTGTACCTGAGGACCTAGAACTGGGAAGCAGGCGGGTGGGAGGGTGTGACACGGGTTATCGGTGAATCGGGACCTCCAGCACCACTTCCCTCCTCCTAGCCCCCAAGCCCAGTCTGCTTGCTCCCCTAGGAGGAGGTCTGACAGGGAAGGGCGGGCCGCCTGGGTTCCTCTCCCAGTCTATGAGGAGCTGGCACACCCACGGAATCACAGATTAGCAGGGCTAGAAGGTATCTTAGAAATAATCATTGAGTTCAGCTCCCTTGTTCTACAGGAGGAGGAAGGTCCAAAGGTAGTAAGAAGCAGAGACCAGTCCAGAGCCCAGGTTTCCCGACTATCCCCTCTGAGATCTAGGTTGGTATCCGGGACGACTCCCCAGGGTGGCTCCAACCCCTGACTCTCTTCCCGGGAAACCTGGTTAAGAAAGAGCTAACTGCCGGAAATGTGGCAACGGATCTGAGGGACCGGGACTCGAGAGGAGCTAGGGGAGCAGGTATGTGTCCTGCCTTTGCAACTGCTCCCCCAAAGCAGTGGCAGGGATAGAACCACCTTTCTTCCCCAATAGAAACAGGTCCAGGCCTGCCTCTGGAAGTCAGTGAGACCTTTCTCTAAGCACCCCCCCAAAGTCAGACTCCTCTGGATATTTCCAAGATGTCCAAGGGTCTGGTGGTGATGGAGGGATGCAGGAAGTCTGGACTTTGGGGGGGGTTGAGTTTGCTACATTGCGTTTTTGTCTTCATCCCTACCTTCTTGCACCATTGGCTGGTTTGAGGGGGGAGGGGGAGGCCAGAAGGGATTGTAGAGTTTAATTCTCCTGTTAAGACTGCTCCCCTCCACCAAGCCTCAGCAGATCTCAGAAGCCAAGGATGGAAATGCTGCCAGAGACGTGGGAAGACAGACCCTAAATGTCCTCTATAGTCAGAGGATCCCTTTAAGGGGGTTCCCAATAAAGCCCTGATTGGGGTGATATAATACCATAGAGAAGGGAGATGGGGGCGGGGTGGTGGAGCTCTTGTCCTCGTCTCTATAGTAACCGAAGGGGGCTCTAGGATATTGTCTGCCCCTGGCTCCCAGGGAAGAGGAAGGGGCACAGTCTGCGAGCTGAATGGGGCCTAAGATACTCCCGCCCCTCCAGATGCCTGACCTTCCTGCAGGCCATTAAACCTCTGCCCCATCAAGTACCCATATTCTTCCTGTTCCTCCACATCTCCTCTCCAGTCCCCTGAGACTCTTCCATCTTAGAACTCTTCAGCCTCCCAAATCCCCCACTGCAGCATCCTGAGCACCCGCTCCCAAGACCCCTGCCTTGGAATCTCTGCCCCATAGTGCCCCACAGATCTTTCCTCTGAATCGCTTCCCTCTGGCTTCCTCTGGCCCTCTCCGGGTCTGATTCTATCCCCTCCCCACCTTTCCTCCAGCGTCCTAAATCCTTGCCCCGCCAGATTCAAACTCCAATCCCCTGTACTTCAAACTCAGGCTCTCAAACTCTGGACCTCTGCCCCGATGGTCCTCCAGGATCCTGTCCCCCTCCCCCCATTTAGACTCTCTGGCCCCGCCTTCCCAGTTTCAGCCCTAAATCCAAATAAGGTCACAGGAAGGGGCGGGGCCCGGAGCCCGGAGACCCGGTTCCTGCCAGGTCCTAAGGAGGGGCCAAGCCGGGCCCCTCTCTAGCTAGTTCCAACCAGCCCAGGCCACCGCCCCCGGACAGCACCCCCCTCCCCCGCCCCTGGGCCTCCAGCCTTGTCCTGCCCCACCCCGCCCAACCCAGCCAGGTCCTGTCCCCTTGCCCCGGGGCAGGATCCCAGGAGAGCCCAGCCAGGCTTGGGCCAGACTTCACCCCATCCTGGGGCGGAGGTTGGGATGAGTGGGAAGAGAGCAAAGCAGCCAGGAGGACAACGTCCGGGGCGCTGGCGTGGCGGAGGAGCCTAGAGCGCAAGGTGGGAAGGCGGGACTAAGAGTGACAGTTCCCATTTCACAGGACAGCTGAGATTATTGGGTAGGACTGGGATGGTGAGGCATCGTGTCAGACCAGAGGTGGGACTTCCCAGCTGCCAGGGTGTGTGTCTGGAACAAAAAGGAAGTCTCACTTCCCTTCCAGAGAGGCCCAGAGCTGGAGCCGGGGGATGGCTGAGGTGACTTTGGAGGGAGCTGTCCAGCCCCCACTTTTACCCAGGGAGTACTTCTGCAAGGAGAGAAGCCTCGAATCAGATTCAGGACATGGACATTTGCGTTTTAGTCCCATTTCTGCCACGTACTAGTGTAAGACTGACTCCTTCCCCTCTCAGGGTTCTGGTTCCCCCACCTATAAAGTAAAGGGTCTGGACAAAATGATCTCTTTACACTCCTGACACTTTAAACAAAGACAAAGATACGACTCCTGCATCCAGCAAATGAATTTCCTTCTGTGGGTCTAAGTTTCCTCATTTGTAAAGAGTTGGGTTAAATAATCTATTTCTGATTACATACAAAAACAGAAAAGTGAGGAGTAGAGAGAGACATAGAAAGCTAGAGAGAAAGAGACATGGAAAGTAAGAGACAGAGATAGAGACAGAGAGATGCACAGAGGGGCTGGGATGGAGAAAGATGGAGCTAGATGGAGCACGTAGAAACAGAAAGAGAGATAGAAAGAGAAACAGTGAGAGGTAGAAATGCAGGCAGACAGAAGAGCCAAAGGAAGAGGGCTGCTTATGTATGCAGTAAGAAAATGAAAGAGGGGAAAGAGAAACTGAGACTAAGTGAGCCAGATAGCTATACATGCAGAGTTGAAGACAGGGTAAAAAAAATACAGATGAAGAGAGGTATGAGTGGAGATGGTGGGGAAGGGAGGCAGGGAAATATAATGAGGAAGGCTAGGAAAGATGACAAGGACCCTATCCTCAACTCTGAACCCACAACCTCTCTGTCTGGCCTAGGTATCTGCCTATCCCCAGGATTACTCCTATGTTTGCTTCTTTTTCCTCAACCTGGCCCCCAGCCCAATGTCTCAAGTTCCCGCCTCCTTTGCCTCCCCCCTACCCCAGTTCTCCCCAACTTGGTCCCTTTCTGCATTCCCTCCCTCATCCTGGTCTCTATCTTCTGGGATTTATCCCTGGCTGTGACTGGCCAGCCAGGAGGGATGGGGTGAGTATGAGGGTAGTGGGGGGGGGAGCTGGGCTCTGTCTGGCCGGCACTTTGCCAGTCTCCGTGTCTCCCGCCCATGCTAATGACTCCCTGACTGACACCTGGCAAGACCATTGGGGTGGGGGAGGCCAGGGCCTCTGCAGGGGCTTTCCCATGATAGAGAGAAGGGAGGAGATGGGGGTGGAGGGAAGCAACAGAGGATGGGTAAGATGACTGCTGGGGGAGGGGTACAAACTCTCATTCACTGGCTACCCCAGGCCCCCCTTCTTCATGCAACATCCACCCACTGCTCCCAGGAGTTCAAATCCCCCAAGCCACGGCCAGGGGTGGGCAGGGACCCAGAGGCTTTGGTGACTCAGCTCCCACAGCAGGCCTTGGTCAGCTAAAAAGATAGATATCAGGTTGAAGAGATGGGAAACAGGGAAAAAGGACTGAAAGAGACTGGGATCTAAATACAGAAGTAGACATAGGCATTATAAAGCTAGGAAGAGAAAGGGAGAGGGAGAGAGAAAGAAACAGAGAGAGAAAGGGAAGGAGAAAGGGGAAAGGGAAGGAGGGAGGGAGGGGGAGAAAGACAGAGACAAAGAAACAGAGAGACAGAAAGACAGAGATGGAGAATGCCTACTTCACTTCCAAGATCCCTTACAACTAAGTCTCTTGTTTTGGGGATAGAAATAGAGGTAGAGAGAGTTAGACAATAGTCACAGAAATACAGATGCCAACAGAGACAAGAAAGGAACTGAGAAACAGCTTTGTAGTCACTATGCTCTGCTCAAAAATTCAATGCAGCATATCAAAGAAATAGAAATATACAGAAACATAAAGACAGAGAAATATACAGAAAAAAGAGAATTGGAGAGAGATGCAAATCCACAGATCTTTTTATGTCTAGAGATATTTATTTATAAAGAATTATCAAAAGTTTAAAAACATGGGAAATAGACAAATAGGCAGGTCAGGGCAAAGACAGGTGGCAGAGAAAAAGGGATGAAATGATGCAGAAATGATTCTTGATGAAGAAGGAAGGGAATGGAGGAGGGTGGCTAACCAGTACTGTTGTTCATTATATCGAAAAGAAATGAATTGGAATGGGGATGGGGTAGTATATTGTTGTGGGGATGGGATAAAAGCCTATACATCTTGAAGAGTGGAAGAATGGGAGGTCATCCCTGTTTCTCTGTCCCCACCCCCCAGTTCCTTGAGAGGGCTAGTCGGGCAGGTTCCAGGCTCAGGACAGCCTCCATACCAGCCTCACCCTTGTGGCCTGTGTTTCTCGGGCACCACCTCCCCCCCAGCCGCCCTGCTGGCGCCAAAGGCTCCAGCAGCGAGGTAGGTGTGGACAAAAGATTCCCCCTGACTCCCCCCACCCTGTGCCTGGCACTATAAGCGCTGCCCAAGCCCCAGGGAGGTGGGCACCATCTATAGGCATCTGGTTGGACTCTGGCCCTCTCAGAAAGAGGAAGCCCTTAAGGCTGGGGTGACTTCCCTCCAGGACAGTACTCTTTGGGGCTTTTGGACAGCATGCCCTGCAACCTAACTTCTCCTTCTTATAAATAGCCTAATAAACATTTCCCCCATCTTGTCCCTCCGAAAATCTCTAGCTAATCAGCAGCCACTTGTTCCCCATGGGAAACTGAGGTCTGGGGAGGGGAGAGTCCCCCTGTTCAGTCAACAAGCAAGCCAGCTGGTGGTAGAACCCAGAGGTCAGGCTTCCTAGCTCCAGGAAGTAAGTGCTGGGGAGGGGGCAGGGCAGGAGAGGAAGTAGAGAAAGAGGAAGAAGTCAAATTCAATGGGGAGTTGGGGAGGGTTAGGCCCCTCCTTCCCTGCCTGCTCTGGAAGACTGGAGTGGGATGAAAGTAGCTGGCTAGATTTGGAGCCAAAGGTCCTGGGTTCAAGTGCTAGTTCTGTTATGTGCTCTCCATGTGGCTATGGGCAATGTAGTGAGCTGCAAGTTTCCTCATCTATAAATTTAGAAAGCTGAATTAGGAAGCATTTTTAGTCCCTCCGGCTCTAAACCCTGTGAAACCTATGAGAAAGCAAAAAGTAATATTGGCTGAGTTCAAAGGGAGGTTTGAGGAGACTGAACTATCTTCAGCCTTAAGCCTGGCTTTTCTCGCCCTCCAAATCCTACTCTATGGGCTAAGAAAGGAATGGAGAGGGTGGTTAAAGAGGAAGGAAAGATTGAGAGGCAGTGTAATGTAGTGAAAACAACTCTAGATCTCAAATTAGGAGACCTGAGTCTTAATCTTGAATCTGCTACTACTATCTGGGTGAGTTGCCTTGGGTAAGTCCTTTCCCTTTTCTGGTCTTCAGTTTCTATTCAACAAAATGAAGGGGTTTAACTAGATGACTTCTGAGGTCCCTTCCAGCTTTAAATCAGATTAAGCTCACGAAGAAGAAAAGAGGAAGCGGTTGAGATTGAGGAAAGAATTTGAGGGAATTCATCCACTCCCCAGACCCCAAGTTCCCTGGAGTAGTTAAAGTCAACCTCTAGCCAAACCTATTCTGGGTGCCTGGGGTTCAGTGCAAGAAGCAAAGCCCTGAGTCTTTACTTGGGTGGGGCCGACCAATCTCCTACCCCACTCCCCAGTTCCAGGGCTCCCAATCTTTCCTGGAAGTAGGAAGTACTGGGCTTACCCTCTTCCCTCTGACTCATCACTACAGGAGATATAAGGGAGGGGGCCAATGCCCAGATGTGGAAGAGGAATGATTCCCATAAAATCAATACCCATCCACCCCTCAGTGGGTTATACAGCAGTGTTAAGGTCTAAGTAGTTAGTAGGGAATATGTTCTAGCAAGATCCTGGATGTGAAACCCCACAAACTGAGAGGAGACTCAGAGAATCCTCCAGGGGAACAAGGACAGACAGATAGGTGGAGGGGCAAATAGACTGAGAAAGCTACTAACAGATCCCCTCTGTCCCACACCCAACCCCCCACCCCACTGCCTGAAATGCTCAAGGGGAGGGAGGGAGGGAGCAAGGGAGCAGTTTCAATTGGTTTGAGATAGGAAACATCAGTGTTGCTGTCAGGATGGGGAGGGGGGTACCTGAGAAGCAGGAAGGTCAGAACTGGTTTAGTGGTTGTTTTCTAGGTTGTATATTTAAGTATGTTCTCTGGTGTGTGTATCATATCAGTGTCTGTGTCCTCCCTGGGTTGTATATGTGTTTAGTTGAGTACCATTCTCCCAGGGTTCTGTACTGAGTTTTGTTCTCAGAAGGCATTTGAATATCTCGGTTGGGGTACATGTCTAGAGGGTGTGTGTGTGTGTGTGTGTGTGTGTGTGTGTGTGTGTGTGTGTGTG